AAGGCACAGGGCTACAACCCACACAGTGAGGAACACTGATCTCCACGACCCAGCAATCTAAATTCGGGTTAGTAGAGAAGACAGATCCACCTGTAACGGACTATGGACTGCCCAGGTGAGCAATCAGAGGCGGCAAGCTGAGGGGGCGCACAGCTCAAATGAGAGCAGGGCTTGCTTGCAACCATTTCTGAAATGGGCCTAAACAGGCTTCTGGGTGCCTCCTCAGCACTGGCAAGAATCACAGTGTCCATAAACTCTGCATAATGTTGTTGATGCGCTATGTCCCAATCACAGTGTCCATAAACTCTGCATAATGTTGTTGATGCGCTATGTCCCACAGTGTCGGCTAGACTGCCAGGACTGTGTAAAAGTTAATAACCACGCTCATCCAATTAGGATGGGATTTGCTTTCATCTTTAAACAATGGTAAAAGTATGTGTATAAATAACTGTTTTATAATAAATTTCTTTATGATTTATGATCAGTGAAATCTGTCTTGTGATTTTTTTAGATACCTTTACACCAGGTGTGGAAAAATCTATCAGGCAAAAGGGGTCACAAGTAGAAAAGATTTAATTACTCTTAATTAATTAATTAATGCCCAATTAATTAATACAAATGCCTGCTCAGGAAAACCTGCAATATTTTAAAAGTTACTTTATCTAGGAATTAATTTCTTATTTTTAGTGTTCATTACTTCCAAGTTTTAAGTACGTGTTGCTTTTGAAATTTAAAAACAATTTCTGGATGATTAACTTAAAACTACATACCATGGAATTGACCTCCTAAAACAGTTACACCATCTATTACAGACTGTGAAAGTTTCTCACTGCTTGGCCTGCAAAAGAAAAAAAAAAAAGAAAAAAGAAAAACAGGATTAGCAAACAGGAAAGTAAATGGAAAAAGTATGTGCTAACAATTTCAAAATAACATGTTAAGTGTACTTGAAAGCTATCAGCTCTGGCAAAAACAAAGGGTAAGTTACAAGCATTTTCCAAGGAGCCTTTGCATAGGTGATTTCTTAGCAAATTTTGGCTGTTAAATTTAGAAACTACATACAAAGTGCCAGCCAGGTATGATGATACAGACCTCTAATTGAAGCTGAGGAGAATCACTAGGTTCATGACCTGCTTCCACTATCCACTGAGTTCAAGTCCAGCCTGAGTAAATCTGTGAGAACGTATCAGAATTGAAAAGGGGACTAGGGCTTTGGCTCAGTAGAAGGGTGTCTTCCTAGCATACACAAGATCCGGGGTTCACTACCCAGTACTGTCGAGAAAAGGAAAAGGAAAAAAAGGGACATAAAGGAGGGCTGGAGAGATGGCTTAGTAGTTAAAAGTGCATATTGCTCTTCAGAGGACCCGAATTCCATTCCCAGCACCCACACAGGCAGCTCACAACTGCTTGTAACCTAAGTTCAAGGAGATCTGATATCCCCTGAGTCTTTTCTAGCGCGGGCGCGCACACACACACACACACACACACACACACACACACACACAGACTTTACCTTTCCTAGTTTGATTACAGCAGCATGTATATTCGTTAACAGCATCAACAATCAATACTGAATGCACACAGTATAGGAATATGGGGTCTTAAAACTCCTGAGCACGTGGAAGCTAATTTTTGTTTTACAAAGTCAGAACAAACTACTTACCTACCTGAAAAGCAAGGAAATCATTATATAACTAACTACAGGTAAGAGCCAACACTGTAATGGGAAGATAACTGACTTGAGGGCATAAATACCTTAACTATCTCTGCTGCTTATGGACCTAATGTATGAACGGTTTTTGCAAAACCTTCTGGTAACACGCCATGGTAAAAACAAAGTTCCAGCTTTGAGGAGAATGAGAAGGTGTATCCTTTGATGAAGCTTTAAATGAAGGTGGAGCTTGCAAAAGAGAAAACTACTGTTTCAAACTTTAACCCAACACTGCAAAACAAAAATAAGCTTTCATAAAGGCAGAAGCTGCTGAACACGACAAACACGCCTATAAAATGCTGCTTCCAGGGAATTCCAGAAGGAAGGAAAGACAAAACATCCGAACCACCAACAAATACAAACAAAATCTCCAAGTGTGATTTGTTGAAAAATTACGTACACTGACTCTGTGGACGGAAATAAACCTACAAAGTCTCGTGTTTATTAAGAGCTTCTAGCACGCAGGAAACAGCTTTTGTGCAGATTATTTCAGTTAACTCTCACAAAAATGCTGATTTACCATCAGCACACCTGAAATGGAAACACACAAAAGCTATAAAACCTGCTCAAATTACGTAAAAACTAAAACTGGGGTGACTCCCAGACTCAGCCTCCATGTGCCACTTAAAAAGGCAAAAAGAATAGAGTGTGGACTGGGCTCTCTTAATCCTTCCCACTGGTCTCGGCCATGAAAACAGATGTGATCCCTCAAGGATGTTTGCGCTTACACAGGCAAATCTGATCATCACCTGGTGTCTCTACCAATAACTATGAAGGCAGCCTGGTTCGGATCCACGGCTTCTTTCTCCATGATGGCAGCAAGCACTTTTGGCATGTCCTTCTCCTCAGCACTGGCCAGGCAGGTAGCGTGCTCCTCCCAGGAAGGGGCCAACATTTCCCCCAAAGGATCAACCAATTTCACACCATTGTCTTCCTTAAAAGAGAAACAAACCTTAAGGGACACACACAATGGAAGAGACTAGAGAAGAGCCTTTGCTGTCATTCCCCCAACTGATGGCTGAGCAGCTGCCCTGGGAACCAGATGGCATCAATGCCAAGCACCAACAGGTGCTGCCCATGCATTACTTCTTCAGTTCCTTGTGACACTATCATAATTGATAATGTCTCCATCCAAGCTTGGAAGGACATTCTGTTAGTTCTCTAATCTGGACACTCTCCAAAAAGAATAGCCTCATTTCATTCCCTCCACACCCAGCGCAGTCTCTGGCAGCTACAAGAGTTATTTCAAACCCAAAGGAGCATACAAATGGACAAGCACACTGCCAGCATTAGAATGTGGACGTTGAGCCGGGAGGCGGTTGCCAATGCCCTTAATCCCAGCACTTGGAGGGCAGAGGCCAGACTAGGCTACAAAGCAATGTCTAGGCCCGTCAGAACTACAAAGAGAAAACCCTGTCTAGAAAGAAAAAAAAAAAGAATGTGGACTTTGGTTCAAAGTTCTCAGACATCAGAGCTCTCACTTGTAAACAAGGATACCAACTTGTTACCTCGGGGTTGTGTGAAGCCGTAACCATGACTCCAATGGTGGCTCTTGTCTGCTTTGACCTCAGGACAGCTAGCAATCCCATTCGAAACATGATATGATCGAGGTGTTGGGCATCTGTCCGAAATCCAGCGGTCCCATACTGAAGAACGAGCCCCTGGGGCTTGGCGTGCAGGGCTGAGCGTTGAGCCACTGCCTCCAGATCCATGTCTACAAGGGTAAGAAATATTACGAAGGAAGAGCTTTTGGGTACCATTTGCTTACAAACTGCCAGTTCATTTGTTTCACTGGGACCCTTTCCAAAGAGCAGTGTTTGGCGGGCAGAGGAAAAGGAGTCCCCGGAATTAGAATTAACTAGAAGCTCCTGCCTACACTGTACAGTCTGGGACTGATTTGCGAGAGAAACCAGCTCATCCACTCCTCTTGCACTTTGCCTCCAGGATGAACATCCCTAAAACCATGTCACATCTATATTCGGAGACTCCTAGAAGACCCAACAGTCATCTAATTTTACACGAGGATCACCTTATGTGTGGGCCCCAGTTAATAATACAAAGTCTGGTGCGTAGCCAGTGAAAGACTGAGGCTAAAGGTCAGAACCTCAAATCCGTGTGGCCCATTCACTATTTCTCCCAAACTAAAAAGTAACAGCCCCAAAGGGAAACCAAAGTGCAGTCCTTTCCTCTTGTCTAGGACCTCCCCGATCACCCAGGACATCTCACAGAAGGGTCTCCAGTTTTCATAAAGAGTCACGGCAGCCTTCTAAATTAATGTCTAAAACTACTCACATCTGTAACGCTGCTTTGACCTGCCATTTAAAGATAAATAAATAAAGCGTGGCCCCAATCCCCCTAATACTGTGAGACACCTCCAATTAGTTCAATTCAAGGTTTCTACCAGCAGTGTGTTTTTCAGGGCCATGCACTGCACTTCCTGGGTCGATTCTATCCTAGTTTGCCCAGCGATGGGTGCTGTCCCTCAACAAACAGCCACACCTCCTTGCTTCATTGTCCTCCTTGCTTCAATACACTCCTTGGACTTTTGTCCAAAAGTCCACTTTTGTAAAAAATCGGTCATTCCCATTTAGTTTGCTCCAAAGTTACCAAACTTTTGTTCACAGGGACGAACATATTTTTGTACAAACTGACCAGTTGGTAATGTACCCCGATTATTCATAAGGGCGTCAACCACTCCTATGAAATCCAGAACTCTCTCAAAGGAAAATAACAGTCATATAACAGCATGCTTGCACCCTTTAAGAAGCCTGGAATTCTAGAACTAATTGCAGTGGGTATGGGGATGCTTATTAAAAGTCCCAACAGCTTGGCCGCTTCTTTCGTTCAAACTGCCATCCTTGGGGAGGCGTCCTGATCCCAGTTCCCCACTACCCGCGGCTCCTGCTCTACAGCGTGAGGTCCGAGGCACCTGGGCCGTGCGGAGCGGTGGGTCCTGCGGTCATTCCCAGCCACGGCTGCCGAGGACCCCACCCACCCACCGCGGCCCCGCAGCCTCCACGCCCGCTCACCCAGTTCCGGAGCAAGAACGTCCTCTCCACAGCCGAGATGCGGCCGCACTGTGCGCACCGAACAGGGCTCACTCGGATCCCGCAGACGTGGCCGAGCCTGGCTTCCGGCCCGACGCCCCGCCTTACGACCAATCGCGGAGGAGAGGGCCCGATGGCCCCGCCCCTGCGCCAGCTCCCGCCCCAGCCAATCACAGCCGCCGGGTTTCTCTGGCCCCGCCCCGTGCGCCAAGCTCCGCCCCCAGCCGTCCGCGCGCAGCTCGCGCCCGGGAAACTGCGGCTGCGGTTCGGAGCGGGTTCGGGGGCTGCTTGGCTTGAATGAGCTCGAAGGGTGAGGCCGCGGCTTGCCGAGGCAGGCCGAGGGTTAGCACCCGGGGTGGGCAGCTGCGCCTTTCAGCCTGGGCCCCCGAGGGCCCCCGAGACGTCTCTCTGACCACCTAGGTCACCTCCCAGCCCCTGGAAGGCGAGGGCAGCGCCATCCCCCCGGATCCTCACCCGCTCAGCCCTGGGTGTCATTTAATCAAGTCCCTGAGCCCCCTCCTCCAGCCCCGAGGATAAGGCCGAGGCGGTCCTATGCACCTGCGCTAGACGCTGCACTCCGCTGTGGTCCGGGGCGGCTGCCCTCAGAGGGGTCTGCGGGTGAGGGTGGCGGCTGGGACAACGCAGAGCCGGAGCTCCCCTCGGTGCTGCAGGCATCCCTCCCCTTGCCGCGTCTGGCTCGGCGCAGGCCTGAGATCCGAGTGGGATTCCTGGGCTGGCCCCTGCTTTGCCCAGACTGAGGTTAGCCGGGAGTCCAGCTGTTTGCAACCACCTACCACGGAATGTTATCACCTGTTGAAAGCGCAGACTGCTAAATGGCCGGCAGGGGTGGGGATGAGAGACGAGGGATCCGGATTTTGATGGCGCACTTTGAAGGATGTTGTGCATACCAGAATTGGGGCTCAGGAGAGAAATCTAAACAGTTTTAAGTGTCTGGGTTTTAAGCTCTCTGCAAGCAGTGGAGCTACCTCCTAGAAAAGGGACCTTGGGAGATTTTCCTAGTCGCCACCTGTCATTTACAAACCCACCGTTTCTGGGCCTTCCCATGTTTCCAAGCAGATTGATTTGGAGACATGTCAGCGTCGTTAAAAGAAAGCCTTCAGCTTCAGCTGCTGGAGATGGAAATGCTGTTGTCTATGTTCCCTAACCAAGGAGAAGTAAAACTTGACGATGTAAACGCCCTAACAAACATAAAGAGGTATCTGGAAGGCACTAGGGAAGCGCTCCCACCCAACATCGAATTTGTGATCACGCTCCAAATTGAGGAGCCCAAGGTGGGTGCTTTTACTTGCCCTAACTATTTCTGGGTGCCTGTTTTTTTGTGTGTTGTTTTTAATGGATATGTATGTCTGTGCGCCAAATCAATGCCGTGTCCGCAGAGGCCACAGGAGGGCGCAACTGCAGGTGGGTACTTGGAATGGAGCCTGGGTCCTCGGGAAGAGCAGCCCTTGCTGCCATCTCCAGCCCCAGGTGCTCACATCTTAACGGAAAAGCCTAGTGCATGAACTTTCTGCCCAGGAAAAAAATATAGACAATTTCAAATGCATATCCCATTCCTTGTTTGGAAGGAAAATGTACCAAACACAAGATGCTCCATAAATGTTCTTAACTACCTGAATTTTACAGACACCTGCCTTTTTTTTAACAAACATGCCTACTGCTTTCGGTGAAAAATATCGTGCATTCCTATCATTTTCTGTCCCCTCATCCAGTTTATTACCAACCCAACTGTTAGAATATGTTTTCTACACATTCCATGACTTCCACAAACCTAAGTACTGCCTGTAATTAAAGGCTTTTATGGAGATAACGAATGTTTAGGATTTTTGTCTGTTTCAATGGCACTGAATGTGAATAGAGACTACAAATACAAAATCTAAAGGCTAAGCTACAAACTTAACTCCATCTTCTGGTTCCTTTATTCCTGGGAGCATTCGCATAGCATAGTATAGGTGCCACGTGGACTGGACATTTGAGAACTAGTGTCCCGGCTCTCGCCTGCTCATCCTTCGGTTGTCATTCCCTCGGGAGGTGTACTGCTTCCCCAGGCTGGATTTTTTTATCTCGTTGATTACGCACCTCAGTGGAACCTTGAACTTCTCCCGTGGTACCTACTGATTCTCAAATTGAAATTAAACTCTTGCCATGTGTGGGCATTGTTGAATGTGTCGAGTACTAGGCTCTAGTCTAAGGCAGAAATCATGTCTGATTTCATCTTTTTCTCATTATTATTATTATTATTATTATTATTATTATTATTATTATTATTTGATTTTTCAAGACAGGGTTTCTTTAGGTAGTGTAGGCTGTCCTGGACTCACTTTGTAGACCAGGCTGGCCTCAAACTCACTGAGATCCACCTGCCTCTGCCTGCCTGGGTGCTGGGATTACAGGCCTGCACCCAGGTTTCTTATCTAGCACGGGACACCCGGCACATATGGTTGGTCAGCAGTGATTAGAAAAGCCATCTGCATAACATGGTCTGTAGCTGGCACTTCATAGTCCCCATGCCTGTTCCTATCATAATTGTGCAGTTGCCATGATAAACTGGCTCATGTGGTTTTGTGGTATTTAAATCTGTGTGGTTTTTATTTTAAGGTGACAATTGATTTGCAAGTAACCATGCCACACAGCTACCCATACGTGGCTTTGCAGCTGTTTGGACGGTCACCTGAGCTTGACAGACAGCAGCAGCTTCTTCTCAACCAAGCTCTCACTGCTTATCTCGGGACCTTTGATCCAGGTGAGCTGTGCGTCTGTGCAGCAATCCAGTGGCTGCAGGACAACAGCGCATCCTACTTCCTCAACAGAAAGCTGTCAGGTGAGCCATCCACACAAGCAAAGCCAGTCAAGAACACATTCCTCCGAATGTGGATCTACAGCCACCACATATATCAGCAGGACCTAAGGAAAAAGATTTTGGAAGTGGGGAAAAGGTTAGATGTGACTGGATTCTGCATGACGGGAAAGCCTGGCATAATCTGTGTGGAGGGCTTCAAGAATCACTGTGAGGAATTCTGGCACACCATCCGATACCCCAACTGGAAACACATTTCCTGTAAGCACGCAGAGAGCGTGGAGACGGAGGGGGATGGTGAGGACCTGCGCCTCTTCCATTCTTTTGAGGAATTACTCCTTGAGGCCCATGGTGACTATGGACTGAGGAATGATTATCACATGAACCTGGGCCAGTTCCTAGAGTTCCTCAGAAAACACAAAAGTGAGCATGTTTTCCAAATACTATTTGGTATTGAAAGCAAAAGTTCAGAGTCCTAAGACTCTACTCAAATGTCTATGCTTGTCATTACATTAAGTATTTATGTTACTAAGGCCAAAATAAAAAAATAAAATAAAAAAAGCCAGTAACTATATAGAATTCTGGGTTTAAAAAAAAAAAACAAAAAAACAAAAAAAACCCTTGTTGTAGAAATTTCCATCTGCTAACAAAGCAAATGCGCCTTTTAACTTTCTGTCAGTGTAACTGTGTTGTTTCCATGTTTCTGTGTAATGTCGTACCTGAATAGCATTGAATTATAAATTAATAAAGTAATATATTTAACCAGAGAAACTTGGTTCAACAAGTCCTAAGCCAGGCTGGAGAGGTGGCACAGAAGCTAAGAGCAATGGTTGCTCTTCCAGAGCTCACAGAGCAGGTCACCTCCATCTGTACCTCCAGCTCAGTGGAACCCATGCCTCTTCGGGCCTCCTCGGGCACCAGGCTCATATGTGGTGCATAGACATATTCAAGAACACACCCACACCCTCGTACAAATAAAGGAATAAAGGAAGTCCCGGCCAGGCCCACATTAACATCAAATGCCAGACTGCAGATACAAATTCATAAATCTGAGATATCTCAGTTTCATGGCCCTGGCACTTGGTACCAGCTCATCCCTGGAATGGATTCTAAAGCACAGGTAAACCGAGAACGAAGAGCACCTGCTTACTATGTTTCTCACTTTAAAGCCCCTATGTGAAGCGCTTTAATAAAACTGGATTCTAACAGCAACAGCAGAGAGATCACAGTAAAGTCTCAGGACTTGCCCACAGTCACGCACACAAACAGATAAACACATTAGTCTGAAATATACATATGACAGTGCTGGCAACTCTTTCACTCTATCATTTGTTTTAAAACGCCACTGGGGATAGTAGCAAAATTCTTAGTGTGGCTTTGTTCTGCCCCTTTTCAAAATGAGAGTTCAATAATTTTAAAAACTAATAAAGAGCAAGAGAGATGGCTCAGTGATCAAGATTACTGACTGGCTGCTCTTCCAGAGAACCTAGGTTCAGTTTCTAGCACCCATAAGACAGCTCACAACTACTGTCTGTATCTCCAATTTCAGGATGTCTGTCATCTTCTTTGGCCTCTGAAGACACCAATCACAGATTGTACACAGACAAGCAGGGTAAACACTTATACACAAGATAAGAACTTGTGAGGTCCCTTTGCAAAATAGCTTTAACATTCTTTTTTTTTTTTTTTTTTTTTTGGTTACATATCCAGCCCAAGAATTTCAGGGCTCTCATCATCTATGTGCCAGGGCACCTTCACTCTCTGCTCTCAACCATCACACTCCTTCCCTGAGGAGAATCCCATTTCTCATGCTGGGTCTTGGGCTGATGACTTGGTTCCTTCAGATTGCCAAACTATGCCAGTGGGATTTCATGGCACGCAGAGGAATAGCCCAGTCCCCATGAAAGCTCACTGACTGCCAATGTTGTATGCACTGAGGAACTTGCAGATGCTTCTGTGGGCCAGCACCTTCAGGCCTGCTGTCTGTCTAGGATGGAAATGTGTCCTTGCTTAGGGGGAGGATTCCAGGGCCTCATCAGATGCCCCTGTGCCCAAGAGGCTGTGGAGCTGGCTCAACCTGAGTCTTCCCGGGGCTCAGGTCAGTCTGTGAAAGTTCCGGTCATGGCCTGTCTACAGACATTAGTGCTCTCCGAACTCATGTTTCAACCCCTCTTTATTCCAGTGGAGCTCAAGTCAGGGCCTCCATACCTTATCTACATACAAGGGGAAGAAACAGCTTCACGTCACCACCAACAATCTCCCTCCATGTTTGCCAAGACTGAAAACAACACGGCATATGAATCACCTTCATACATAGCTCCTTAAACTATCACTAAGCTGACATTCACAATTGTTAGGCCCCATTTTACTCCACTAACCCTCTGCCTTTGAAATGAGACTATGTGCTACAAACAGTTGACCCCCACTGAGAATTTTTCCTATGGTTCAGTTAGTAAAAATGGCTTCTAAAATATAAACAGCTTAAGCAATAAAGGAGGGAACAAAACTAGATTATTCCATAGTCCAATGAGCAGAATATATTCAAGTCTATGAACTCATGGCTGCCTCTGAAGTTCTAAGAAAATCTTTTTCAGAATTCTGCTTTAACTTGCCCAGTAATAGCACTGAATAGGACTTTTAGGTGTGTTACCAACAGACAGTTGTTAAAGAGATTCAGATTTTAAGATGTCTGCTTGTGTATGTATGTATACATACATACACACACACACACACACACACATACGTATGTGCATATAATCTCATTCAAAACTCAGCACTGTTGGCCCAGCACACTGATGCCTGTATTTGTCCAGCACGACAGGAATACATACCACCCTCCCCCATGCATTACTTTGGGGAACAGCCACTTCTTCTATATGGTTCAGAGGAGGGAAGTGGGGTCAGCCTGCCCAGCCCCAGCTAGAGGTGCTCTCTCAAGTTCCTGCTACCCAGAGCGTTGCTGGCCCTGCAAACGCCCAGCTCCTCAGCACCTCCTCTAGGCTCCTGACAGACTTCCTTGGCTTATGAAGGTAGACTTGGCTACTACTGGTGCTCTAAATCAACAGGTCTCAACCTGTGGGTCATGACCCCTCCAGGGGTTGAACTACCCTTTCACAGGGGTTGCTTAAGGCCACCAGAAAACAGAGATTTACATCACGATTCAGAATAGGGAAACCACAGTTCTGAAGTAGCGATGAAAATAATTTTTATGGCTGGGGGACACCATAACATGAACCGTACTGAAGAGTCGCAGCATTAGGAAGGCTGAGAACCACTGCCCTCAATTAAAATCTTTAAATGATTCCTTGAAAGAATGCTTGTTTGTAACAATCAAGGTCCCTTTGGAGTTCACTAAGTTAAGCATTTTCTCAAGTGTGCCTTAGTCTTTCATTCTTTGTTTATATACTAAAACTTCACCTATGAGCTGAAGATACCTCGGTGAGTGGCGGGGGCCCTGACAGGCCGTGGTGAGGGATATGGACGGGGCTGTTGCAAGGCAGCCATGTCACCTGTCAGAATGAGTTCTCGTGAAACTGCATGTGCCACCTGTACCTGCCTCAAAACTCAAAGGGGCTCTTTAGGGTGCCTATGCAAGAATTCAAGGAGCACTTTCGATTTTTTTTCCATTTGTTTTTACTGCAAGTGTCCTATTAAGTCTAAAGAACAGCTCTGTCCTAAAGGAGCATCACTTTGCTCCAAAACTCAGGTTTTATGTGGTCCTGATCTGTCACAGAAACTAGATCCATTCTTTCTCCTTCAGAAAGGCCCATGTGGAAGAACTCATTTCACTGCAGTGAGCTATCACCTGAGGGACCTCTCTCTGTCCAAATCCAGTCAAAGCTAGGGCATCTGGATTAATCCATACATGGGTTTAAGCAATGTTTAGTTTCTTCTCAAGTCCATCAAAGAGCAAGTATGGTGGCACAGGTCTATAATCCCAGCATATGGAAGGCAGAGACAAAGGCTGAGGGATTCGAATTTGAGGCCAGCCTGGACTACCTGGCAAAATTCTGTCAAGAAAGGAGTCCACCGAACACTAGAGCTTTCCTTTCTAGTAAGCGGAATGAAGTACACAATTTGTCCTTCACTATGAAGGAGACATCCTCACCATCCTAGCATGTACCAGATTGTGGACTTCCAGAAAACCTGGCTGAGATGACAGGCTTTCCCTGTGGTTTCATGAGATCTATCTTCCCCACTCTGACCTGTTCTCTCTTATACCAGACATCCAGAGAATCCAATGGTCCCAGCAATTTAGGTCCTGTCAGCAGCTCATCCTCAGGTATGGGACCACTGCTGTCCCATGCAGTGGTGAGATTGTAAGGTCCCAGTATCAAAGTGGTATAATTCTGATATAGTCAGAATTAATATGGCCCTGGAAGTAGATGATCTCCTGCCTACTGAGATAAGGCAAACTGCCCCAGATGCTCCCTCCTACTAGTTAACGGGCCGGACACACTGGCTAAATTAATGGTCACTTATTGATTAGCTCCAAGAACGGGAGCTCCTCGGCCAGCAGCTGGGTGTGATCACCAACTAAATGTTCAAAAACATACGGTCATTCTGGGAGACCCATCTGCCTCCTGCATATGCCACTGATTGTGCTGAATGGAGATAGCACTAAGAGTTAAATCCTTGTTTCTTTTTTAAAGGTAATTATTTTTTTATTATTTATTACAATTTATTTACTGTGTATCCTGGCTGTGCCCCCCTCCCTCATCTATTCCCAGTATCACCCTCCCTCTCGCTTCTCCCCCTATGTCCCTCCCCTAGTCCACTGATAGGGGAGGTCCTCCTCCACTTCTATGTGACCCTAACTTATCAGGTCTCATCAGGACTGGCTGCATTGTCTTCTTCTGTAGCCTGGCAAGGCTGCATCCCCCAGGGGGAAGTGATCAAAGAGTCAGCCACTGAGTTCATGCCAGAGACAGCCCCTGTACCCTTTACTAGGGTACCCACTTGGAAACTGAGGAGCCTTTGGGCTTCATCTGTGCAGGGGTTCTAGGTTATATCCATGAATGGTCCTTGGTTGGAATATTGGTCTCTGCAGGGTCCCTGGGCCCAGGCTTTTTGGCTCTGTTGGTCTCTTTGTGGAGCTCCTGTCCCCTTCAGGTCTTGCTATCTCCACTTTTTTCCATAAGATTCCCTACACTCTGCCCAAGATTTCGCTATGAGCTCAGCATCTGCATTGGTACCCTTCTGGGTAGAGTCTTTCAGAGGCCCTTGTTTGTTAGGTTCCTGTCCTGTTCCCGGTCTTTTCCCACTTCCAATATCTATCCTGTTTGCCCGTCTGAATGAGGTTTCAGCCTCTTCCCTAGGGTCTTCCTTGTTATTTAGCTTCTTTAGGACTATAGATTTTAGTATGTTTATCCTATATTATATGGCTAATGCCCACTTATAAGTGAGTACTTACCATATGTGTCTTTCTGCTTCTGGGATACCTCACTCAGGATGATCTTTTCTAGTTCCATCCATTTGCCTGCAAATTTCATTATTTCCTTGTTTTTAATTGTTGAGTAGTATTCCATTATATAAATGTACCACAATTTCTGTATCCATTCCTCATTTGAGGGACATTTAGATTATTTCCAGATTCTGGCTATTATGAATAAAGCTGCTATGAACATAGTTGAGAAAATATACAAACGACAGCCAACAAACTGGGAAAAGATCTTCACTAACCCTACATCTGACAGAGGGCTAATATCCAGAATATATAAAGAACTCAAGAAGTTAAACAACAACAAACCAAGTATCCAACTAAAAAATGGCATACAGAGCTAAACAG